TTATTTATTTGGGATGGGATGGGATGGCATGTTTAGCATGCGATGGAATGGGATGGCATGCGATAGCATGGGATGGGATGGCATGGCATGGGATGGCATGGCATGGGATGCGATGAGATGGCATGGGATGACATGGGATGGGTTGGCATGGCATGGGATGTCATAGAATGGCATGGGATGGCATGGGATGGCATGGGATGCGATGAGATGGGATGGGATGGAATGGGATGTGATGTGATGTGATGTGATGTGATATGGGATGGGATGGGATGGCATGGAATGGGATGGATGGATGGATGCATGGATAGATGCATGGATAGATAGACAGTTAGATTTTTTGTGTATTTTCCTTTCAACCAAGCGTTCACGAACTGAGTAACGCCACTGATTTCTCCGGGCAACGCCGGGTATCCGCTAGTTATAATCATAATAACAATAATAATAATAATTATTATTATTATTACTGTATCATCATCATCGTCGTCGTCGTCGTCGTCGTCGTCATTGCTTACCATCTGTATGATGAAGGTTAGTGATCCAAGCAACCTCACTATATTGCTCTCAAATCTTATAGCCAGATACTGCAATAATAAAACACACATGAAATATGAGGCAACAATGTTTTAATATATACTCCGATTAAATCTAAGCTCTTACGCCTACACAACAGCATGCGCTATATTTGCGCCATACACGAAGTGTTTTCTTCGCCGGCACTCGGGTATTTCCGTCAAACAATCGGACTTCGTGTAAAATAACTTTTCCGAAAATTAAATTACTTTAAAAAACCCGATTAGATTGTTTATGAGGAACAGACATGAGCACTGTTGACACCAGCAGTGGCGTAGTTAATGGGGGGGGGGCAAATGTGGCCATGGCTCCCCTGTTGATCCAAAAGTTTAAAAAATAAAGAAATAAGAATTGTTCTACTAAAAAGATAATTGTCGTAGTCAGAATGAAGGCTGTACAATGTACATGTACTCAAAAGTGCCTCAAATACCAGCTCCGGCGATCAAAATTTCCAAAATTTTCTGGGGGAGGATTCCATACCCCCCGCCTGTGTTTCGCCCCCTCCCCTCCTCGTAATCCTAGATCTGCCACTAAACAGTTACGTATCTAGGGAGCAAAGAACTCGCAGAAGACAACGAACACAAGTGTCGCGCTTGTTTGTGCATGCGGCCACAGAAACAAAGATTGCAGAGGCTGAGAGGCGGGGGGAGCAACATAGGGCTGTTGAAAGGGAAGCGGAGAACGCATATAAGGCTATAGTATATATTATAATATTAAGTCAATTCCACTCTTTTGCGTCAGTCGCTGTTTTTGCCCCTCCCATGTTAAAAAATCCTGGCTACGCCCCTGGACACCAGCTCGTGAAAGGTGAGCTGGTTGTCCCAAGAACCTGTGAGGTATTTGGTATGCGCGCTTAGAGGCAGCTTGTGTTTATACCTGTACAAAGATGGAGATTGTTCGGCAAAAGTTCGGGGCAGGGTGAGAAGGTGCGTATCATGGGGCGCGATCGAGGGGCGAGCAAAATCTGTGACAAATCCCGTGAATAGATCATAAATAACCTGAACGCTGTTACATTTGCCGCTGTGCCCCCACGCGTAGCAAGTGCAGGTGAGACAATTTCTTCCGGTGCGCGTGTTTCTTCTGGTGCGTTCTGGTGGGTTCTTCTGGTTCTGGTGGTGGTGGGTGTTTGCCAGTGTTTAGTGCTTGCGCACGCAGAGAGAAGCTACAGTATCCCCATGCCCCGCTAGCAGAGGTCCCAGTAGCACAAAAAATCTATTGCGATACGACACGGGCAATTAGCGGTGTTATACTAAACTATAGAGATCAGTATGTTTGTAGGTCGCACATATACAGTCACATGAGTGCAACGTGAGAATGTATGGGTGAGACCTCGATTCGCGGGTCCCAGAACAATTGAACTTCTTTAGTGCGACAGACTATAGCCCAGCTATATGGATAACGGTGCGTGCTGCATGTTAGTGCGTGGCGTCGTGCGCGTTAGCGGTATGTGTATGTGTGTGGGTGTTGTGTGTGTGTGGGTTAGGTGTGCTTTGTGGGTGTGTGTGATTGCGGTTGTTGCGTTGGTGCGTTTGCGTTGCGGCAAAAAATTTCGTTTATAGTTACATACTTTACACTGCTATTTTGATAAAAAAACGGAAATGACGTTAATCGTCGCGATAATGAATAAACTGCAGAATGTATCAAATACTTGCCACACTTGACCCTTTGAAGCGGCTACGGTTACTGTCTGAGCTACATGTTTAACGAGGACCAGCAGTACCACATGGTTCCACGCGACATCGTGTAGTAG